TGCATGTATATCCATATTTCTTCGCGAGAAACGTATATATGTGTACATACGCGTATCACGCTTACGCAGTCGCGCGCTCGTTGACGTCTTGAGATCGTCCGAGAGAGAATTGTGAGTTGCAAAGACGCGGGGTGACGGGCGCACGGCACCACGCGACATGACATGATAATTACGACGTTCGACGTGATAAGATTATCGAGGACCGTTGAACCATCCTCCAGACTCTAACGTCGTGTTCAAGTTTCCCGCCATTTTGCCGTGCGCCCGCCTGTATCGTCTCCAACGTCTCTACGCCTCGCGCGCGCGCGCGCGCGCGCGCGTGCGAGCGAGCGAGCACGACTCCAGGCCGGTCGTCGGCGGTGGCGTCTCGCGGAGACGTGGACGCGGCGTCGCTGCTGATGACGACCATCGTGTTGTCTAAGTTCCTGGCGCGACGCCGCGAGTTGCGACCGATTTCCCGCCTTTTCGCGCGGCGCCGAGATGTATGGCGTGCGAGCGAACAGGAGCAAGCGAGAGAAAGAAAGAGAGAGAAGAGGGGGACAAAGAAAAGAGATTAGAGCGCGGAGCGAGCGATTCTCCCCCGATTTCGCGAGTCGGCGCGATAAAAAAAAACATCCACCATCTTTGCTGACGACGGGAGATAATGTGCGTGCGTACGTACGCACGGCGCAGCTACGAAAAATTTCTCGCTGGATGGAAGGAAGAAAAGCAAGCAAGCAGGATGGGAGGGCAGAGGCGACCGGTCGGTCTGTCGGAGGCGCGCGGCGCCGTGGTGCCGACGCACCACATGGCGCGGCCGCGTCGTAACGACGCGCCACACAGCGTACAGCGTAAGCGCGTGTACGACAGCCTGACCGTCGCCGTCGTCCGAGGGGGCCCCGGGAGTACGCGCGGAAGGACGCGTCCCCGCGACCGCGGCACTCGCGGGGGAGGGGAGCACACTGCCGTCTCGCACACGCCGCTCACGGCATGAAAACTCGGCTTGACGAAGGTGTTTCTGACGTACCCGCCGGCCCGCTTACCTTGGACGCATCCTCGATGTTGTTGTCGTTCTTGGTCTCCGTCTTTGCGTCAGACATCTCTTCACGTGTGAATCACTCAAAAACACTGGGAAATCCACGATTCCACGGCGAGAATTCGCGCTGCGCCCGGTCGCACTGTTTATACGATAAGGAAAGATGGCGGTTAGCGTGGGTCACGTGACACCTCGTCAAACCTCAGAGCGGGAGTTCGGCGCGCCGTCCTGCGCCGCCGCGATCAACTACGCGCGTAGCGACGCACACGCGACCCCGATCAGCCCGATGCAGAGATTCTCGCCCTCGCCGACGGTATTTCCACACTGCACGCTCGTCGATTTTTTCCCTCCCTTTTTTTTATTGTAAAAGGGCGAAGCTCGTTTACGTCAGCAGTAATGCGATTCTACGTAACTTACGATATATCGTGTACAATAAAATTAAATTAAATATTCAATATGATTCCCCATCTATTTTTTATTAAAAAATTTTTAATTTGTAGAATCGCACTTGCTGTTACGTTGTAATTCGAGCAACATTCGTTTAGAATAATTAAAAGTACAGCATAGAATACCGTCGCAGAATTAAAAAAACCAGGATGATTCGGATAGATCCCTATTAGCAATTTTAAAAATAATTTTCCCTGGCGTGTATTAAATTGTAATTAACATCGCGCACGCGTACTTACTTTACTTACCTGCTTCAAAATCGTTTTATGTATATATATGTCGTTCTGTTATAATCTCTCTTTCGATTTATAGAATTATAAGAGGAAATCAATATAGGATTTTTTAATTATTTATATATGCTGCTTTGAATTAAAAATGTAATTTTTTGTGTTTACGCATCATGAAACATATAAATGTTGAAATTAATCTGAGAATTATATATTATACAGTTTGACATAAGTAAAATAAATTTTGTTTGCTTAGAATCTAAATAAAATAGAAAATTGCATAAATACGTAATACCTATTTTTTGTTTTTTTTTTCTCGTAACCGTATTGATATATCCGATCTTAAATGTCTTTAGCTCCGCCTACTCTATTCTGTAAAACAGAAATTATTAGAAAGAGTTCCACAATTAGTAAGCTTTTAACTGTTGATTTAACAGTAAGTCGTTAATGCGTTGGCATTCTTCGGAACCAGAATCTCGCCCTGAAATCGTCGCTGCATGTTAAAAATGCAGGCGCGGTTGGTGAATGTATGATCATCCTCACAGGACCGTTATGACCCAATGACAATAACTGTTTTCTTGATGCGTTACGAGAATTCCATGCACACAACGAGGTAGTGGCTTCATCAGGGAACAACACATAGTCTTCGGTATGATTAAAGATCGCCTGTGCCTTGTGTTCCTGTCTACCTGTGGAAAAACGGTTTAGTCAGTCGTATATTCGTGATTGTATTATTGTAACATTAACAAGACATACCGCACCGAACATATTTCAAGTACGTCAAAATACATTTATAGTCTTTTTACCTGTAGTTCCGGCACCTGTATACGCTATTAGACATCTGCTAGTAGATAATTCCCATAACTTTATCAAGGAATCCTTTCCTGAGGACAATATATACTGGAACCCAAAATTATATGTGATTACTCAAAATTAAATGGGGAAATAAAACACTAAGCTTCCATCGGCAATTTACATGTATAAATCTTGTGCAACGTTATCGCCAGAATTACTACCTTGCCATTCCTTGTGAACGTCACTGAGCATACTTCATAACCATCATGCGCTTTTGCAAAAGTGTTTACACATCGATTTGATACTCCATCCCACAGTTTGATGCTTCCGTCTTTTCCTGCCGATACATAAGTCTTTGCATCTGGAGAATACTTGATGCTAGTTATTCCAGCTGTATGCTGATGATTTGGTATGCTACACACAAAACATTGTGCAGTATTTACGTCGTATAATCTAACTATTGGATGATTGGTCCCAACTATAAGAAAATCTCCGGTTGGATGAAAAGATAGACATCGAATTTGATCCGCATCTGTGATGGTCCTGAAAGCCTTTTTAACGCTGGCTTTACTAAAATCAAACAACTTCACAGAGAAGTCACGACTGCCAGATACAAGTATAGGCTCCCTGGGATGAAACTCCAAACATGTTACTTCTTCTAAGTGATCGTATAAAGTTCTTATTACTGGATGACCTCCAGTTTGATCTCCAGGTGCAATCTCTTCTGGTGCAGATTTGGCTAGCATTCTGTCTACATCTAAAATCTTGATCGAGGCATCTACAGAACCAGTAGCTATCAGCTGACCATCTGCTGAGAAAGCTCCAGCCCTGCAGTTTCCTTTATGGGATGTGACGTACGCTGTTTCATATTGTGCTGGTTCTGGAGCTTGAGTCTGAGCTTCTGTCTCAAATTCTAGGTCTAATCCAGGACCTAAAGTGTTGTCAAAACTCGATGTAAACGAGGATAAGTTAGCGCTATTATCCTTCTTGGAACGATCTGGTTCATGAGCAGAACCAATCAACATTAAATGAAGCAGTCGATCTGAGGGTGGACATGGTGGATCCGTCTGTATCATATTGGATAGCTGGACAGCTAGAGTCTGATGGCCATCGTAAAACAGCTGACTGAAATATTCAACATAACTTACTTGATAATCCATTACACATGCCCTACTTTTGTTATCTTGCTGATGAAGCTACAATTGTAAATTACACTTGCCATTGGGCGTTCACACAAAAATCGCGCTTTATATAGAGAATATTAATGATAAAGGAGCGAAATTCAAAAGAGAGCGTGCAAAAGAGACGATTATAAACAACCTGATCATCAATCTGTAGAGCAGCTCCCTGCTTTTTATGATGTTCTTCGGATCTGCCTCAGGTTCTTTCATTGCGCTCTGGCCCGCCGTGTTCCCTGAAGGTGACTGAATGTTGGCGAGTTTAATTAGAACCGTTTAAAAAAAATACTTTAAACCGCCCATCAATCGATGACCCCGGCCTTTTTTGCAGGTTATGTCGCGTTGTTGTCACCCCACGCATTTACGCTCGTGCTCTGCATCACTTCCGTTTGATTGGTAGTTCAGGCAGTCGCGACCAATCAGCGATGCGCGCCGTTGTCAGTGCGAGTTCCACGTGATTTGTGTAAAACTCCACAATGGCCGAGATTGATAGCAATTCGGGATTAAATAAGACCATCTCCGAACAAAAGGGTACATACCGCAAAAAATTATTGTTGAACGAACACGCTCTACGAAAGCGGCAGGCCTTCAAGTTCGCTACAAGTGACAAAGATATCTATGTGAACAACAAGACACCTTTCAAGGTAGCTCGTATAAAAGTTATCATAACCTTTCAATCGTTGCAACTTCGCTGTAGATTCAAAACGAATGCGCATTTGTTTCGAAACTGTCGTCGCACTTTCTCAGATATTTGTTAATATTTTAAAGGGACAATTATACAAATGCGAGAAACTGCTCGACAAAGGTGCTTCTGAGCTGGTCATTCATGGGCTCGGTGCTGCTGTGTGCAAAGCAGCCAGCTTGGCTCTACGATTGAAGGAAATTCATCATGACACTTTAGATCTTGATGTTAAAACCTCTACCGTTATTTTAGTAGGTACGTATACTTTTCTATACATATAATCAAATTAAAACAAAAGTATAAGAATGTCTTGTTAATTACAGATGATCTAGAAGCATTAAACGACAATGTGGACGATGAGATAAATAACAGGCAAAACTCTTCTATACACATACGTGTCATTAGGAGAGTGCCAGTGGCTGTGCTGAGATCTAAATAAGAACAAATTGATATTGAGACTTTGTAAAACGATATGTTTAAGTAATGAGTGTAGATTGAGTGAATAACAGAATATGTATGATAGAGTGAATGGAATTATTAGCTACATTATTATTTCAATATAGTTTATAGAGAATTATATAATTTTTTTACGATGATCTTTTCTTTAAATGAACTGGTTCATTGGTTAGGTTTAACAATCTTTGAGATATGGATCAATTTACTTGCCTTATTGTTCTTCACTGTTTTGCTAGCTTTAAAATTAGATGAACAGTTATTTTTGGGACCATCAGGATGGTGGGAAGTATTTTCGCCACTCTTTGTAGCAGATGGTTTAAATACGTATTTTTGCGCTATTATTTTTATAAGAATGTATATGGAAGGAATGATTAGAGCAGGCATTTTGCGAGCATTATGGAGTCAAATATCATTATTATTAATTTTTGTGTTTAAGTATCTTCTGTGTAAAAAGCTCTCTGGACAAAGCACGTTGGAGTATTCTGAAGTTTTGAGTCCTGTATTCATTCTTCTGCAATTGATTGCTGTCAGAGCTTGTCAATTACATTAAGAAAAATAGAAGAATTTTCCTGTGTACTACTTCCAGAGTCATCATCTGTGAGAACGATATATAATATACTTATACATATATACTATTTTGTCAGATTTATTTAGATTAAATTATTTAAGAAATTTTATCTTTCTCTCTCTGTAAATATTACTAAATATTTTTATCTTTCTATTTAATATAACGTTATTCCTGAATACATTATGCAATACAAATTTAATAAATATTCTTTTAAAAGAATAATAATACATGATAAAAGAATATTAATTAAAATGATAAAATAATATATTGATAAAAAAATAATATAATTCTTTGAATTAATATTTTATTATGTAAACTTATTGACACAAACTGTTGTTTTATATTAATAATAAGAGTTTTGACGAAAAATAACAAACATTAATTTTTTTGTTATATATTTAAATTATTTTATATTATGATGGATGATTCTTAAATTCTTTATTAATTTCCAAATTATTTACAAGATTTTATTATTTATGATAATTAATAGGAAAAAAATGAAA